ACCGGGCCAGCGGAGGCTCTGGGAGCTGAAGGATTTGATCCGCTGGTAGGCAGCCCAGCCCCGAATTTGGTAGGAAAGCTGAGCCTCAGGGAGGGGGAGGCCGGCCCAGGCCACAGGCACCGGCTCCAGAACCTGTGGGCTGGGCAGCACCGAGCCCCCGCCGGGCACAGGAGGTGACAGGCTGCGCTGGGGCCCGCAGGTTCCAGGTGACATCGGGGCACAAGGCCAAGGCCCTGGGTGGGTGCAGGCCCCGCCACGAGGGAGCGACACGCGGAGGAGAAAGGGGAGGAAAGCAGCTCTCGCTCACTCCCACCAAACGGAAGAGGGACGGCCAGGGGTCAGCGAGTTCACACACCCAGGCTGCTCCCAGGCGGCAGGGAGCCAAGGCCGGGACAGAGGCCCACACGGCTGGGCAGGGGCAGGACGCGGGAGGCGGCCTCCCGCTGAGCTGACCAGGAAGGCTTCCTGGGAGAGAACAGTGATTCTTTCTTATTTGTATTGATTTCAGGGAGGAAGGGAGAGTGAGAGAGAGAGAGAAACTTCAATGATGAGGGAGAATCGTGGAGCGGCTGCCTCCTGCATGCCCCACACTGGGGATGGAGCCCCCAACCCGGGCCTGTGCCCTGACCGGGAATCCAACTGTGACCTCCTGGTTCATAGGTCGACGCTCAACCACGGAGCCACGCCGGCCGGGCAGAGCAGTAATTCTTAGGAGCCAAGCCCCACACGAGGGAGAGCTAAGCCACGGAAGGGGATCGCCCCCTCGGAATAACGTAAGAGGATTCTAAACGAGACGAAAGCCGGCGTTCCGTGTGTGAGCTGTCGGTGGTGGAATGGAAACGCCCTCAGAGGGAGGGACGTTCTGAAAAGGTGCCTGTCAGGGGTCCTCATGAGGTCCTTGTTTTCACTGAATCGTGAACTATGGAGAAGTTCTGTTTTTATTTTAAAAAACAAGAAAACAACGCAAGAGATGACACAGAAATAGGCCACGTGACGTGTGTTCCTTCCCGTCGGTGTCACCGGCCAGAGAGAGGGCGGCCCCTCGTTACCCGCGGGCTCAGCGCCTCTTTGTGTCACCTACACGCGGCCCGGGTTTATTTTGCTGCGTCTCTGCCACCGTTTTAACCATTTCAGAGAACTGCTCCCGCAAGTCCAAGCAGTTTAAAGACATGAGACTTGGCCGGCCGGCGTGGCTCCGTGAATGAGCGTCGCCCTATGAACCAGAAGGTCAGGGTTCGATTCCCGGTCAGGGCACCTGCCCGGGGTGTGGACTTGATCCCCAGTGTGGGGCGTGCAGGAGGCAGCCATCCATGACTCTCATCATGGATGTTTCTCTCTCTCTCTCTCTCTCCCTCTCCCCTCCTCCTGAAATCAATAAAAATAAGTTTAAGGAAAGAAAGGAGCCTTGGGCTTGGGGATGGAGATCATTGCCCCGATTCCACTGTTTCAAATCCAAGGCGTCCTCTGGAGGAGGGAGCTTCATTAGCCAGAGGCGGGCGCCGGGCCCCTTGACTGCAGAGTCGCCCACGATTTCTCTCACCTGCAAACTGCGGCCTCTCATTACCGCCTCGCGTCTTAAAGGGGGGACGTTGTTAAAATGGCTAATAACGTCATTACCGAGCTAATGGCTGATCGGGTGTCTGGTCAATGACACCCTAATTCGTGGACCCCCCCCCGGTTCTGAGTTTTGAACTTTGATAGTAATTTGTTAGGGAAACACTTTCTCTCCCGAAACTGCGTTGATGTTTGGGAGGCGTTGGGTTGTTGTTTTTAATCCCATTCTGTTTCTTTTTCTTTCTTCTTTGTGAGGAGGAAGGAGAGAAGCAGCATTTAGAAACCCGTCCTTTGCTGCATGAATGTCTTCACTTCCCAGAGAGCGAGAAAACCATTGTTTCCTGTAATTGGACAGTTTGATTGGACGCAGGTGGCGCAGAGCCGAGGCAGCCGGAGCCACGAAGCCAATTTTGGCGTCAAGCGCGTTTCCTCCCGTCCCCGACTCCAGCAGCACAACATGTAAATCGGCGCCGCAGAAGCCAGCGATAAATTTAGCTCCCGTTCCCCTAACGAGCACCTGGTCTGCCCTGAAGGGCCTTAGCCCAGGGACGGCGTGCGGCGCTGGCGAAGTTGCCCTGAGATGCCCCGGCACTCACTCCGCAGTGCTCCTGCGGCCACGGGGCGGGAACTTGTGAGCAACCTGGAAGCATGTGCCATCCCTTTAAAATATCAAGAGAATGCCCTGGCCGGTGTGGCCCAGTGGTTGGGTGTCGACCTAGGAATCAGGAGGTCACGGTTGGATTCCCAGTCCGGGCACAGGCCCGGATTGTGGGCTCGATCCCCGGTGTGGGGCGTGCAGGAGCAGCCGATCCATGATTCTCTCTCATCATGGATGTTTCCATCTCACTCTCCCTCTCCCTTCCTCTCTGAAGTCAATGAAAATGTATTTAAATATGAATATGATTTTGTTTTTCCAGGTGAGGTGGCCTTCGCGTTGCTCACGGTGCACCACCTCGAGGTAATATTGGCTTTCTTTCAATATTTGTGAGTCACAGGCCAAGTCAACGTGGCCCCACGGAGGAGTCATGGGTCCTGAGAAGGGACCAAAAGGGGAGGTGGGCACGGCCGGGAGCCCCTGCTCCACCCGCCTGCCCCTGAGCCCTTCCCTCGCTTCTTTCCCGGGCACTGGCTCTGGCGCAGTCGCCTCTGCATGGCCGCTGATGAGCAATGATCCTTCATCGCCCACGAGGAGACGGAGGCCCAGGGAGGCCATTGCTTGGACCAAGGCCACACTGTGAGTCAGGAGCAGAGAGGAGCACTGGCCCAGCCCCACCTCCCCCACCACCCAGCACTGTCCCTGTGGTCCCTCCCTGCTCTGTCCAGGACTCCCAGCGGCCCCGGGGAGAAGCTGGAGGGGGCGGGGCGGGGGGAAGTGGGTCACTCGTGCAGACCACGCTGGGCTTGGACCAGTCCGTCTCCTAAAAGCACAAGAGGGGCCTCGGGCAGTGGACCGCCCACGGGCACTGGACACGGGTGGGTGGGGGAGGGCACAGGATCACTTTGTCCTCTGCCCTCTGAGGTCGGCAGCCTTAGCCCATTTCACAGATGAGCTCATAAACGCCCAAAGGCCCCACAGCACCGAGCTGTCTGCACCTGAGCACAGAAGAGCTGCTGTGTCTGTTCTGGGTGGGAGGGCGCGGCTGCTGGGGACCCTCACACAGCGGGTGCTTTCCCACCCGCGAAACAGCGCCCCAGGGAGGGCAGGCCTGAGAGTCCTCGGGAGGACTCCGTCCAGCAACCTGTCAGTTCTCCACATCCCTGTGGGACAACCCAGCAAAAGCCACAAGCGTAGCAACAGAGAGAGAGAGAGAGAGAGAGAGAGAGAGGCCCTCATCAGCCTGAAGGCAGATGATTTCCTCTTACGCTGCCCTCTTCTCGGTCAGCTCGGGGCCGCACAAGGCACAGCCTCTACGTATCCTCCGTGAGATGGTGTCTCACCCGCCTCCCGGCGCGGAGGACGGAGGGCGGAGGGCGGAGGGCGGAGGACGGAGGACGGAGGACGGTGCCTTACCCTGCACACGTCTCAGGGACCCTCGGCCCAAGGGAGCTCTGGTGGGAGAGCCAGGTTTCCCAAGCGCCTTGGGGACAGTGCTCAGGCCACCCTGCCTGCTCCTCCTCCTCATCCCTCCTCCTCATTCCTCCTCCTGCTCCCCTCCCCCTCCTCCCCTCCTGCTCCTCCCCCTGCTCCTCCTCCCCCTTTTATAAGGATGATTTTTTAGAGCACTTTTAAGTTCAGAGCAAAATCAAGAGGAAGATACGGAGATTCCCATATACCCCTGCCCACACATGCACAGCCCCCCCCCCTATTATTAACTACACTCACCAGAGAGGTACATTTGTTACACGGATGAACCTACATTGAGCTGCTCCCCCTTCTCCCCAGGGCACTTCCGGCCCCGGGTGGGCAGCGGCGCCCAGCAGAGCCGCTCTCAGTGAATGTTATCAGAGGAAACACTTGAGGGCCCAGAAGCAAACAGGCCCCCCTGCACCTGCCGGCACCCACCTCCGCGCCCGGCGCGTCCAGGTGTCCTGGGAAGAAAGGGCCCTTTCAGGACCCGCCGGCGGCTCCCGGGCCAGGTCCCTCCAACAGGCAAAGAA